TATATATATTACAAATACATATATATATATATATATATCTATAGATATATATATATTTATATACATATACTTATACTTATATATATATCTATATATATTTATACATTTATATATATATTATATATGATATATATATTTATATATATATATGTATATATATATATACATATAAATATGTATGTATATCCATACATTTTTATGTATATTATATTATATAAATAGATATATATATATATATATATGTATATGCATGTATGTATATGTGTGTGAGAGATAGAGAGGAGGGGGAGAGAGAATATGTGGGTGGGGGGGAAGGGGGAGAGGTGTGTGGCGTGTTTGTGGCGTCTGTGTGTGTATGGAAGGCGGTGGGGTGTGTGTGTGTGTGTGTGTGTGTGAACATGAACCTTTGAGAGTGTCTTTTGTAGCCTGTTTCGTCAGTGTATGAGTATGCATACCTTGCTTTGCTACTGCTTGCTATGATTTACTATCATTGCGTCGTAAATACGGCAGCATGGATATACTTTCTTATGATTGTGTGAAATAGAGATGTTTTATTTTTATTATATCTTAGAACTATTATCACTGTCTCTATACATGTGTGTAGTGTGTGTACTAAGCAATTCTACGAGATTGTTGTAAGTCGTATGTGCTCGCGGGCTGAGTGACAATATGATCACTGTTAGTGTGCAGGAAATGCCCTGGTGCAAAGTAGAGTATATTGATGCTAATCGTAAGAACGAGGGTCAATAACCGGCTTTGTTATTGTAAAGTGCTTACAATACAACCAGTTCACTGTCAATAGAGACAAGAGGTAGAATAAAATTGTACCTTTCGCACGGACTAGGCAGCGCTAAATAGACCTGTCCAACTCATCAATGTTTCGATAATGGACCAATATACAGGAATCCTGCAGAAGACCTGAAATATAGTGACATCACCGTAGTCTTTGCCCATCGGGAGATCACAGTTAACCAATATCATGTGCTGGGACAGGTGGGTGGCCGAAATGCACTACGTCTGGTGTTTAGGATATATAAACTGAATTTGAATATTTATATGTATATATATATATGTACACCCACACATATATATATATATTATGGAACACATGCACCTATAAACTACTGTTGTTTGCTGAGACCATCGCCGTATCTTCAGTAGTATACTTCTGTATCATGCTGAATGCTATACTGCTGTATCATGCTGAATGCTTGAACAGCGTAAGCTTTATATCATTCATTTCAGTATATTTTCATTCAGATTGCTCATTTGTCTGAACTTCCAGGCTTAGGTGCGAAATATCGTCGCTTTCGCAAGTATTGATCTTGAATTAGTGTACTTATTGTTGTTGATCCGATTTTTCTTCCTCCATACAGCTGAACCCCAACTTCATGGGCAGCTTTTCACTCGCATGTGCATCTGAATGATTGTTCATAAATATCTGACCTCGGAACTTTGTTGCTTCCTCAGTGCACAATTAATCTAGGAAGCCTGCTGCAGGACGAGTATGCATATGACAAAGTCCATCACATCGATCTACCGGTATGTTTCTCTATAATACGGCCCTTGTCGTCAACTTACAGTGAAGTGAAGCTTTTGTGTATTCGCTAGAGTATACTTAAAAATATATATACATTCATATATATATAAATATATATATGT